ATATCAAAAAGTCTTAGATTCAACAGAGCAGAAGTTGTTAAACACATGGGGGCAAAATCTTATTGAAGCGACCATACGAGTCATAAATACTCACACTCCGCCCAAGTAAAACAGAAACAAGCAACACTTAGTGGGCCAGCCAGAGGCTTAGGGCCCGCACAGGAATATCCCTGAAAAAAATATCAAAAGTATCCGATTCACCAAGAATTCTATTGATGGATAAGTGACCATGAGGGGCGGTCGGGAAGCAAGATACACGCTTGTCCTGGAAGTCAGGATATTCAACAAGGATATGCACGACTGCAAAAGGGACGAACTCTGTCAGGAACCCGTAGGTGCGGGACTGGGACGTCCACCTCCCGAGGGTCGTGCGGCCCCAGGCTCTGCTGCAGGAGGCTGTGGTCGTTCATACCCTTGATGGGGTGGTTCTTCTCCGGCCACGACCACGGGGGTCTCCGGGTTTCGGGTCCCTGTGCCTTTTTTCACCCACTTCGAGGTCAACTCCGGAGCTCACAGTTCCTGCGACGGCGCTGGAACCAATTGTATTGCCGTTTGCCTTTCCATTGGAGACTTTCGGAGCCGTGGAGAGGGGGGACCTGCTGCATGGGTAACAGCTTCTCCTCCGTATCAACCTACCCTGGCTTTGCGCCCTGGAGAGGCCACTTTCAGACCGACACCCAGAGCGAAACTCCATAGTTGCGCTCCAGAAACACACCAGAAACAAATACCTATTTGATATTCCAAGAGTATGCCCTCCCTACCTATCAACATTGGTGTTCCCCAGGGGAGCATACTTGGCCCTCTCCTCTTTCTCATCTACATTAATGACCTCCCAAATGCCTCCTAATATCTCAAACCATTTCTATTTGCTGACGACACGACCTTCATTTACTCCAGTCCTGACCCCCTTGCTCTAAATGCCACAGTGAATACTGAGCTAAATAAAGTCCATCACTGGCTAACTGCCAACAAACTCACCCTCAATATTGACAAAACATTCTATATTTTGTTTGGCAATAAATCCTCAAATCAAATAAATCTTAGGATTAACAATACCCAAATTTGTAACAAAGTAGATGGCAAATTCCTTGGTGTTCTCATTGACCACAAGCTGAATTTCCAGGGACACATTCTAAATATATCAAAAAAAGATTCAAAAACTGTCAGCATTCTTTCTAATATCAGATATTATGTACCTCGCCCTGCCCTGGTGACACTATTACTCTCTTATCTATCCTTATCTTAACTATGGTATTTGTGCTTGGGGATCTACTACCCAAAATCATTTACGTCCTCTAATTACTCAACACAAAGCTGCTATTAGGACAATATCTAACTCTGGCCCTAGACATCACTCGGTACCCCTACTCAAATCTCTGAATATGTTAGATATTAAGTCACTGCACATCCACTCATGTGTATTTTATATACAGTATATAAAATGCTGAACTGTAATGTCAATCCTGACCTTAAAAGCTTCCTAGAAGGTTGTAACAGAACCCATGAGCACCACACCAGAAACAAATACCTATTTGATATTCCAAGAGTACGACTTAGTCAAACTAGAAATGCTTTACAAATCAAGAGACCTCGAATGTGGAATGACCTTCCCAATTATGTTAATAACTGTACCTCTCCCAACCAGTTTAAGATAAAAACTAAGTACTACCTAATTAACTCAATGTAACCTACCTCACCCCTAAATGTCAACCCATATCTACTACTTGAAACAATGCTGTTTGTTGACCAAATTGTATTTTTGTTTTTTTTCTACCATGTTTCCCACCCATTTTATTCATTTTTTCTGATTTTTTTCTCAACACAATTTATACTTTAATCTAAGTTAGTATTAAGTTTTAATCTTAGTGTTTTTCCTGCCCGAAACGCTTTGCGTAATAGTGGCTTTAGGCATTGTATGTACTAGCTCTATCTGTGAATCCATCAACTTTTGTATCTCACCTTGTATGTATGTACTTTACCTGAATAAATATTTGTATTTGTATTTGTATAGTCTCCTGAGACTGATGGATGCCAACTACCAACTACTAAGAGGGACAATGCAGTTTGGACAATAAGGAGCAGGGCAGCGCTCCATGAGTTAAGCGTGTATGACCAATACACAACCTTGCCAGAGCTGTTTCCCACCGCCGGTTACGGTGGTAGGATTAAGGCCACGAGGACACACGTACTACTCTTAAGAGTATGCAGTTTGTTACCAGTAACAGAAGACCAACAACCTTACCAACGGGCAAGGATGGAGGAATGAATAACCGGGTAAAAGTCGGAATAAGGAATACCTTTACGGGAGATGGGACAAGTATGGATAATTTCCATAGCGGCAGCATCCGCACACTCATTTAAAGAGACATAAATATGGCTGGAACACAGCAAAACTCCACTTTCTTAAATCTACTAGAGATTAACGCCAGTCCATAAAGGAGGCAATCCGGCGGACATAAACAATTATAGACCAATATCAAATCTACCCATTCTATCAAAAATATTTGAAAAAATTATTTACAAACAGCTCTATTCCTACCTCGTAAAATTCGACATACTCAGCCCCTGGCAGTTTGGCTTCCGGTCCCAAAAGAGCACCAATGATGCAATCATTAGTCTCCTTGACGTAATCTACTCAGCCCTTGACAAAAAATGAGTTTCCGATTGGACTCTTCATTGACCTAAGAAAAGCCTTTGATACTGTTAATCACAACTACCTCTTACTTAAACTCCAGCATTATGGTATCCGAGGCCTTGCCCTTGACTACATCCGATCCTATCTTAGTGACAGACACCAATGTGTAACCATCAATTATACAACTTCTTCCACTCTACCAATTACCGTTGGAGTGCCACAGGGCAGCATCTTAGGACCTCTTCTATTTCTTATATATATCAATGATCTGCCTAATCTGACACACTAATATTCTTATGGCAGTGTCTGGGATGCTCCCGGACGCAGGTTCTAATCCTCGTCACGACCCTTGTGGATTTGTTTACAAATACCATAGTTGAGATAAGGATAGATGAGGGAGTAATAGAGCGTCACCAGGGCAGGGCGAGGTACATAATATCTGATCTTAGAAAGAATGCCAACAGTTTTTGAAACATTTTTTTATATATTTAGAATGTGTTCCTGGAAACTCAGCTTGGCGTCAATGAGAACACCCAGGAATTTGCCATCTACTTTGTTACAAATTTGGGTATTGTTTATCCTGAGATTTATTTGATTTGAGGATTTATTGCCAAACAAAATGTAGAAAGTTTTGTCAATGTTGAGGGTGAGTTTGTTGGCAGTTAACCAAAGATGGACTTTATTTAGCTCAGCATTCACTGTGGCATTTAGAGCAAGGGGGTCAGGACTGGAGTAAATGAAGGTTGTGTCGTCAGCAAATAGAATGGGTTTGAGGTGTTGGGAGGCATTTGGAAGGTCATTAATGTAGATGAGAAAGAGGAGGGGGCCAAGTATGCTGCCCTGAGGAACAATGCTACTTGTTACAGTTAACTGTTACAGTTACAATGTTGAATTATCTGCATGTCTCTTGCAAATTGTCTATACAGTATACCTAGGTCATAAAAGTATTTGTGTGTACGTCTGATACCATACTACTTGTGAAGGAGGAACTTTATATGTGTTTATCTCTCAGAATGTTTGGTAATATGTTTATTTGTGATGTGTGTCTATGTATGTATTAACACGTTGTACTGAATGGGGTGAGAATAGCTTGAGCTACCTCATCCCTTTGTGTGTATTTTACCTCAATAAACTTATTTCAATTTCAATTTCAATTTCCATGGACAGGGTGAGAGATTTGTTAAATATATAGTTCAGGGATTTATTGAAGAATCAAGAAGGCAAAGAGTTATGAGCTTTCATACGTCAGGCTGCGAGCAGCCGCGTCCAACAGCCTGGTTGATCAGTCCAGCAATCAGGAGGCCTGGTCGACGACCGGGCCGCGGGGACGCTAAGCCCCGGAAGCATCTCAAGGTAACCTCAAGGTAAGGACATGATAGAGGTTTACAAGTGGATGAAAGAACATAACAAAGGGGATATTAATAGAGTATTAAAAGTATCAACACAAGACAGAACACGAAACAATGGGTATAAACTGGATACGTTTAGATTTCGGAAAGACCTGGGTAAATACTGGTCCGGTAACAGGGATTTTGATTTCGGGAACCAGTTGCCACGTGGCGTGGTGGAGGTGTCTTAGTCTCTTAGGAGGGTCTCTTAGTTGTTTCAAGCAGCGTGGGTCATGTATATGAGTGGGATTAAAATAAAAATAATAAATAAATGTTTATTTAGGTAAGGTACATACATAAAGAGATTTTACAAAGTTTGTTGGATTAATAGATAGAGCTAGTACATACAATGCCTAAAGCCACTATTACGCAAGGCGTTTCGGGCAGGAAATGGGTGGGTGGTTATATATAGGAGAGATTGGGTGGTTATATATAGGAGCTGCCTCGTATGAGCCAATAGGCCTTCTGCAGATACCTTTTTTCTTATGTTCTAATATTAATTTAGCGGTGATAATGAATGGGTTAACTACAAATGCCACTGTAATGAAAAAAAATATCAGAGAAAATGGGGGATTATTGACAAGCTCTCGGCTTTCTGTCCTCATCGATGCCACAGGTATATACCGACCCTCAGGCAAATTCAGGTAAAGCTTGTGGAATGGAGATAAAAGGATAAAATTTAAGTCTATATAGGATCAAAGGTTTGGAACCAAATAGTTAGGCCTATTTTTCACACGCTTTAGTTTAAACTTACAAATGAAGAAGCGAGTCTACTTAGTGCCATCTATTGACGGTAAGACACACTAGAGCTAGGCTGACGCCACGACAAGTGTTACCACAATAACGATTATTAATGATAGGAAGCAGTTTAATGAATTAAAAAACAGATATTAAGTTAGCAAAATCACACGTAGATGTAAACAATTTTATTTAAAGGCATTATTTACTTGGAAATAATTTATTATAGTCGGCAGAAAAGTGGGAGATGGCGGCGTCTTGGCGGGGGACGGAGAGTGACGCGTCCTGATACACGCTGGACGTAAACAAAACTATGGTGGCCTCCAGAGTGCCTGGCTTTACTCGTGCTCACAACATCACGCCCACGCAATATATCTCGTAAAGCGACAGGAGGACGAGTGACACGACTGTAGCAGACGCGGCGATGGTGCAAGAGGGAGTGTAGCGAGCGGACACGGGTAGAATTGGAGAGGGCAAAGACAAGGGCGCCATTGGTGATTCCAGAGAGTTGTCACTCCGACCCGGCCAGCATGAAGGGTGACCTGACGGTGGTGTTGTCAGTGTACGAGGGTGAGTGAGGGCCAGGCTCCAGGGCAGACTGTGGGGTGAGTGAGGGCCAGGCTCCAGGGCAGACTGTGGGGTGAGTGAGGGCCAGGCTCCAGGGCAGACTGTGGGGTGAGTGAGGGTCAGGCTCCAGGGCAGACTGTGGGGTGAGTGAGGGCCAGGCTCCAGGGCAGACTGTGGGGTGAGTGAGGGCCAGGCTCCAGGGCAGACTGTGGGGTGAGTGAGGGCCAGGCTCCAGGGCAGACTGTGGGGTGAGTGAGGGCCAGGCTCCAGGGCAGACTGTGGGGTGAGTGAGGGCCAGGCTCCAGGGCAGACTGTGGGGTGAGTGAGGGCCAGGCTCCAGGGCAGACTGTGGGGTGAGTGAGGGCCAGGCTCCAGGGCAGACTGTGGGGTGAGTTAGGGCCAGGCTCCAGGGCAGACTGTGGGGTGAGTTAGGGCCAGGCTCCAGGGCAGACTGTAGGGTGAGTGAGGGCCAGGCTCCAGGGCAGACTGTGGGGTGAGTGAGAACGATGTACAGGGCAGACTGTGGAATGAGTGAACCATGTTCAGGGCAGACTGTGGAATGAGTGAACCATGTACAGGGCAGACTGTGGAATGAGTGAACCATGTACAGGGCAGACTGTGGAATGGATGAGAACCATGTACAGGGCAGACTGTGGAATGAGTGAACCATGTACAGGGCAGACTGTGGAATGAGTGAACCATGTTCAGGGCAGACTGTGGAATGAGTGAACCATGTTCAGGGCAGACTGTGGAATGAGTGAGAACCACATACAGGGCAGACTGTGGAATAAGTGAACCATGTACAGGGCAGACTGTGGAATAAGTGAACCATGTACAGGGCAGACTGTGGAATAAGTGAACCATGTACAGGGCAGACTGTGGAATAAGTGAACCATGTACAGGGCAGACTGTGGAATAAGTGAACCATGTACAGGGCAGACTGTGGAATAAGTGAACCATGTACAGGGCAGACTGTGGAATGAATGAGAACCACGTACAGGGCAGACTGTGGAATGAGTGAGAACCATGTACAGAGCAGACTATGGAATGGGTGAGGGAAACCAGATATTTATGCAGGATTTCACACATACTGCTGTTACTGGCAGTGTCTGTGTTGACTGTCATAGTAATATTGATTAGTGTAACAATTAGCATCTACTATGTAGCTCCTAGTAAATTATCTAGTTTCTTGCCTTGTATCCTAGTGTCCCAATCAAGATGAGCAGAAATGACCAAGTTGTTGATGCATCTATGACCTCCAGTGTTGCAACAATCAGTCTTGTATCTTTACCCATTTATTAGAAAACATATGGCCAATGTTTATGTAAATAGTTTGTCACAAGGATGGCTATAGCCTTCATCTAGGGAAGTGATGAAATGCTATACCAGAGTCTTCTATCATCATGGGTAGTTCTTATTCAGATTTTGTACTAGTTGAAAAATTGACAGTAATTCATATTTTAGGAGGTATTCTGTGTAGTTATATACATACAAAGAGAACAGGTTACTAGAATTAATGTGCTTTGAAAAGTAATTTTATATAACATCCACACACCAACACTGCAATAAATTATTGAAACAATCTTCTAATGATTTTCACTAGCTGTGGAAGGTCCTGATTGGAACCACACTTCTCAATCAACACAATCAGTCTTCCACCGGAAATGGTGATTATGTAGTCCATTTACAAAATTCACTCGGTCAAGAATTAAGGTTTTGGTATGAGCTTTTTATTTTTAGATCAAGGGGGGAAGATAATCTCATTTCAGTATTTTTAGCTCTCAAGTGTTGTTTCACTCTCGAGTATTTGTAGATTGCTAGAGTTATTTTTTTTAAAGTGGTGATATTTATTTCTAGGGGAGGGTATGCAGCCTCGGGAGAAGTGGAAGGTGGTGGTGACGGCTCACCTGGAAGGCAAAGTGGTCTCCACCGACCCTGTGCCCCTCTCAAGTGAGCCGAATATTAGTCAGGAGATGTCATGGGACGTTTCCCCATCAACCCTTCACAAGTAAGAAGCAGACATTTGTCTCCAGTGTGTTCAAGTTGAAAGATGCTCTAATTTTTTTTTTTAGTATTATTCCTTTCACTTCCTGTATTACTTGACTTATTTTATATAACATTATTTACCTAGAATGTCAGATCAGCCAACTCTTTGTGCTTGCACTTCACAATGTGATATAGGTACTGTACTACAGTTGAACTAACAAGGGAGTTTACAGTACTGTGTCAGATCCCATTTGAAAACAGTACAGTTTAGCACTTGGTTGCAGGTACAAGAATGCCCGAGTGCCGTTGCGTATTGAGTGTCATGCCGTGGACAGCAACAATGATCACCACTTGGTTGGTTACATCATCCTTCCACTCGTCTCAGCTGTCCAGGGAGAAATGGTAAGCCTCATTTCTCTGAACAATATTACAGTAATTTTATAAAGTTGAATTTTTATGAACAGTGAAATGCCTCATCAATATATATACAATGGGGCCTCGACTTACGATGCTAATCCATTCCCAGAGACGGATCGTAAGTCGAAGCAATTTTTCCCATAAGAAATAAAGGGATTTGAATTAATCCGTTCCCCACTCTCCAAAATATTAACTTGTAAATACATTTTATACTGAATACAATGTGTTTTTCTAACTACAATACAGTACCTAAGTTTATCTTACCTTTATGGACGGCTCTTGATGGCGTATGGAAGATGGTGATGAGGGGGGAGGAGTTGTTACTGTTTGGAAGGGGAGTCCCCTTCCATTATCACATCAGGCAGTGATGTTTTCTCTGGGGTACTCTTTCTCCTATGTTTTGCCTGAATACCACTAGGACCTGGTTATGGTTCAGTGCTTGTATGTCTCGCTACAAATTTGTCAAGAGACATTTGTCATTTATTCATTTAATTTTAACATTTGTCTGTAATGATGCATCACTTTAGCACCCCTAATGTCCTTTTTCTTAGCCAGTATGGTGGCTAAGAAAAGCCAGATTTGACTGAGATTTGTTGTACTGCCTAGCCAGTCCAACAACCCCCACACCATATTTACGAATGATCTCTTGTTTCTGCTCTATGGTCATCCTTACATGGGATCTCATATGTTGAGCCTTACCACTGACTTTCCTGGGACTCATGGCGTGATATATAATAATTACTTTAATGTGCAAAATGCAAAAAATCACCACAAAAGCGAAATTTCTTATAGACGCGATCATCACTAAGCGGGCAGCTGTAGTAAACCGAGGCAGGTCGGCCGTGTGACCGGGAACCACGCGCTTGGTCGACCCGAGCGTGTCCCAACAAATATCGTAAGTCGACGACATCGTTGGATGTCGAGTCGCATTTTTTTATGAAATTTACATCGTAACTTGAAATTATCGTAAGTAGGGGCAATCGTAAATGCCACTGTATTTTGGTAGCAGACTGTATTGGTAGCAGTCTTTCTTGTAAACATATGTTGTTAAATATGACCGAAAAAGTAAGATTAAACAAATAAAACCAACAAATAAAACCGCATTGGAAATACATAAAACAAATAATTGAAAATATATTTGTGGAAACACCTGGTGCTTGAATGGCCCACGCGACCGTGTCTGGGCGAGTCACGCATGGGGCGATCAGCCCGTGATGACATCACAGCGCACCTTGTCCACGTCCCCACAGCCAAAGGTGGAATTTGGTATTTAGTTTTACATAGACATGTTCAGGGAAAGGAATTTATCATTTTACGAAGAAAAAAATTTTGTTGGGACCACTTTATTTCATGCGCACCGGGGGAATTTCACAATAAACTCAGCGCAGCATGGTGGTTAACACCACTGTGCTCAAATAAAAAAATGTAATATTTTTGTCCTATAAAAATGTTCATTTGTGTCCCCTGACCACCGGAAAAATAACAAAAAATCGTAGGTGACATATTTTGGTCGCAATAGGGCGAGGAATTCTGGCAAAATGTAGGCGTTGATAGAACACGTGTCGGAGGCAGTCGGCTTCGCCCGTAAGAAAGTAATTAGAAACAGAGCAATGCAAACGATGTACAGTGACCACAACACAGCAGTTGCAACATCAGGATCTGCAGGTTGGTACAAGAATTTAACCAACTACGAACCACTTAGTTTCATGAAAGGGAGCAGTAAAACAACAGAAGTACACTTACATCGCATCAGACTTGGATACCCATGTGCATGGGAAATAGACTTACAGGTTCCGGAAGATGAGAGGAAATGTCAGCACTGGAGAAATGCCCGACAGACCACTGGAACATTATCTAACACAGTGCAGAGTTACAAACCCATTAAGATTTCAACTTAGATTCAACAGAGCAGAAGTTGTTGTTAAACACGTGGGAGAAAATCTTACTGAAGCAACCATACGAGTCATAAATACTCATACTCCCCCCAAGTAAAAACAGAAACAAGCAACACTTAGTGGGCCAGCCAGAGGCTTAGGGCTCGTGCAGGAATATCCCTGTCAAAAAAAAAAAAAAAAAAAAAAAAAAAAAAGAGCAAGCTGTCAGGCGGGTGTTACCACAAAGATGATATTACCTAATTATTTCAATGCCTCTGATTTTGTCTTATTTTTTCAATAGTATTACAGAGCACCACTTGGTTTACGAACTTTAGTTATCTGAAACTTCCAGTTTCCCGATTGGGGTTCGGGAGTCATGTTACACGAACTAAGTTCGGGTAGGAAGTAGTCTGCCAAGCTTCATGCCGGCCGGGGTTGGGGTTATCCTACACGAACCAAGTTCGGGTAAGGAAGCGGTCAGACAAGCGTCGTGCCGGCCCGTGGTGGTGGGTGGGTGGGTGGGAGATGGTTCAGTTTGCTCACTGACCGTGTCGGGCACCGCCTGCTACCCTGTGACGTCACAGACTCACGGTCTATTGTTCCCATTGTTTGAATTTGTCACGAGACTGGAGTGTTCATTCCGTGACTTTGTTTTACATATCAGCACAATCAAGGAACATCCGTGCACCATATCGACTTCAAATGCACGCATTGTATCAGTGAAAGCATCTACAAGCGGGTTACGTAAAAGAAAGAGGTCAGTGATGACATTTGAGAAGAAAGTTGAAATAATTAAGAAGGTGGAGAGTGGTGTCCCGAGAAGTGTCGTGTGCGCTGAATATGGCATTAGTAAAAGTACTGTTTTTGATCTTCTTAAGGCTAAACCTATCATTTTTTACTATTTCTCTAGAAGTGAATGTGATAAAGCAATACGAAATAGGAAGGTAGTAAGTAAAGCAAAGGTGGAGAGTGTTGATAACGCAGTGTGGGAGTAGTACAAACAGAGACGTGAGGTTTGATGACGAAGAAATCCCGTCATGGCATTAGGTTCATTAAAGTGCATGGTGAAAGACAATCTGCTGATATTGCTGGTGCTGATGAGTATGTAAGTAAATTTGCAGAGATGGTGCAGGAACAAAATTTATCTTCAGAGCAAATTTATAATGCTGACGAGACAGGTTTGTATTGGCGTATGCTTCCCACAGAAACGATGGCTCATAGTGGTGAGGACGATTAAGGTGGTTATAAACAGAACAAACAGAGAATTTCTTTGTTGTGCTGTGCAAATGCAGCTGGCATGCACAAATTAAAATTACTTGTGATTGGAATTAGTAAAAACCCGAGGGCTTTAAAGTCAGCCAGGTACCTCCCTGTGATTTATAAGAACCAGCCAAGTGCGTGGATGTCTCGAGTAATATATGTCGAGTGGTTTCATAAGAACTTTGTACCCGAGGTGAAGGAGCACCTGAAAAGTGTTGGTTTCCCCGCAAAACAGCAAAGTTGTGCTGCTGTTAGATAACAGTTCAACGCATCCACGAGGTGATGAGCTAGTAAATGGCAATATTATTGGAACGTTCTTGCCACCCAATACAACTTCAGTGATCCAACCCATGGATCAAGGAATAATTAAGAACCTTAAACACCACTACAAGAGGATGTTTGCCAGACGTCTTAATAATCATCTTGGAACACTTAAGGACTTTTATAAAGTCTTCACAATAAAGTCAGCTATCTGGACTATTTCTAGTGCGTGGGATGAGGTAAAGCAGACAACACTAAGAAATGGTTGGAAAAACTTTGGCCCACGTCAAGTCTGTTTCCTGACGAAGATGACGAGGCAGATTTTGAAGGATTTGCGGTGAAGAAAGTTAGCGAGAAGAAAAAATTGAGAGGAACTCCTAGCCTATGTCAAGGGGATTAAGTCCCCTGAGCTTAGAGCAGAACTGGTGACTGAAACAATAGAAAATGACATCGATAGATGGATAGATTTTGATGAAGAAGCCCCAAACAATCGAAACATGACTAATGATGAAATTATAGAATTAGTATGTACAGCAAAAAAGCCAGACGAGTGCAATGAAGAAGATGGAGAGGAAGAGGAAGAGGAAGAGGAAGAGGACGAAGAAACGTTAAAGGAAAATTGTAATGTGGAAAAAATTCAGAATTTTTTTTTAAGAAATTCTGGCATTTATGGACACGAGTAACAGCGAGTTTGAAATTAAGGACATGATGACTCAGTACAATTTGTATATGAAGTTTTTAAAAACAAGAGCCAAGGGAATGAAACAAATGTCAATTACAGAGTCTTTTGCAATGGCTTCCAAGAAAGCTCGCATTGCATCACCTGCACCTGACTCATCGCATGTTGACCCAGTCAACCCAACAACTTCAGTCAACCCAAAAACTTCAGTCAAACCAACACCATCAACATCCACCACTACCTCTTCCATGTAAATAACTATGCTTCATCAACATCAGTCATCAACATAAGCAGATCAGGACTTCAATTATTGGTGAGTACAAACAAAATATGGTCGCATTTATGCTATGAACCTGTCGATTTTTCCCCTAGATTTTTTCACACATTTTTTTTATATTTTTCCTCCATTTCTCGTATACGAACTTACATGTTAACCGACGGGTCTCGTCCCCAAGGGGTTCGGAAACCAAGTGGTGCTCTGTATTCAATAGCGTATAGCGTATTATATTTATGTAATAAAATGTGTGAATCATTGCTACACTCAAAAGTAAGGTGTGCATATTAGTGATTCAATTATTATGTTCATAAAATAATAAACAAATAGTTGTGCTGTTATTACACTATATACACAGGATATATATAAGTATCTGCGTGTTTTGTTCACCATAACGAACCACTAAGTTGGTATAGCGAGTCAAAACAACGAGTATCCACCACATACTAGCCAGTAAACATCACCACCTTCCCTCCCTCACCACCTTCCCTCCCTCACCACCTCACTCGCCAACATTCCTTCTCCCACCAAACTGTTTTTGCTTTTATTTACTATATACAGATGTTATTTATGTGTCGACATGCTTTGTTCGCCATAACTGTAAAACTAGGGTGGTATGATGAGCTCAGACAATAACAAAGGTCGCCACACAGGCAGCTGATGCTCCCTTCCAAAAACAAAAGGTATTGCTTTTGGAAGGCCTTATTTTTGATGGCCTTGGACTCTGCGCTTCAAGTTGGGGAGCTTCAAGCTTTCCTCCAACCCCAGGGGTTCTGTTTGTTTGGTTTAGGTGGTGATTTTGTTTGTTTGCAGCCTTTTTCTTTTTTGTCAAAGAATGAGATGGCGGGCTTTCGGAGGGGTCCGTTGGTTTTGGATGGTTAGGCCGGGGGTGCATCACGTGTTGTGTCCGGTGGCGGCTTTACGCTAATACCTGCTGATCACTGGTTCTGTGATGGATGATCTGGGTGGTAGATTTGGATGTGTGGTTGTGGTTTTGGTTTTTTAGTGGTGGAATTGGTTGGATCTGGTTTCCCTGGTTCCCTGTTCACGGGCTCGTGTATCTCGGGTTGTCTGCAGTGTCATGTCCAGCCTGTCTGTGTTCTACCCTCGTGCCCATGACATTCGGATGTATGCTGCTCTCGCTGCGTTTTTTAGCAACATGTCTCTGATAGTCATTCGGGTGTGGGGGTTTTGGAGGTCGAACAGCGTCCTAGCCTCCAGGTATCTAATAAACGTTCCAGTTCCTTCTCAGCCGTGTGGGGGTTTCGGGCGCCTGTGGCGACCGTTTCTCTTCTTCGTCGAGGGAAGTAGTTCTGAAGTAGAGGGAACACAGAGAACATATACGGCACACATACATGATAAATTACCTAAACTGCTGGGATCGTCTCAAAGCTCTCAAAATGTACTCTTTGGAAAGGAGATGAGAGAGGTATCAAATAATATATACAGTACAGTGGTCCTTGATTTATGATGGTAATCAGTTCCCAGAGACGGATCATAAGTCGAAATATCGTAAGTCAAAGCGATTTTTCCCGTAAGAAATAAAGGGAATTGAATTAATCCGTTCCCCACATTCCAAAATATTAACTTACAAATACATTTTATTATACTGAATACAATTTTTGTCTCTAAATACAATGCAGTAGAGTTTATCTACCGTTTAAATACAGTTTATCTTACCTTTATAGAGGACTCTTGATGGTGTATGGAAGATGTTGAGGGGGGGGGGGAGGAGAGGTGTTACTGTTTGGAAGGAGTTTCCTTCCATTATAACATCAGGCAGTGAGGACTTCTCTGGGGTACTCACTCTGGCAGGTTTTGCCTGCATACCACTAGGACCTGCTTCTGGCTCACTGCTTGATTTTCTCACTAGAAATCATTCCATTGAAGATTGTTTTTCCTTTCTTTCCAACACTTGTCTGTAGTGAGGCATCACATTGTCATTAAAAAGATCAATGCAACGGGCTGTTACAGCTTCATCTGGGTGGTTCTTTTCAGCAAAACTTTGCAGTCCTTCCCATACTGCACACATTTTCTTAATTAATGAGTAAGGGACATCCTCTAGTGCCTCTGCCGCCTCCTCTGAAGATTTATTTTACTGCCTAGATAGTTCAACAATACTAGTACCATTTTCATGTTTACATATGACTCTTGTTTTTCCTCTATGGTCATTCTTATGTGTCTTCATATGTTGAACCTTACCACTGACATTCTTAGGACCCATGGCATGATATATAATAATTAGTTTTATGTTCAAAAAGCAAAAAAATCACAAAAACAGAATTTCTTATAGGCGTGATCGTCACTAAGCGGGCAGCTCTAGTAAACTGAGGCAGGTCGGCCTGCGTGACCAGGAACCACGCGCTCGGTCGACCCAAACGTGTACCAACAAATATCGTTAGTCGACGACACTATCGTAAGTCGAGTCGCATTTTTCAATCAAATTTACATCGTAACTCGAAATTATCGTAAGTCGGGGCAATCGTAAGTCGAGGTGCCACTGTACATGGAAGATACTGGAAGGCCAAGTCCCAAATTTGCACAGTAGAATAACAATGTACTGGAGCAAAAGATACAAACAGAAATGTAGAATAGAACCATTGAGGAGTAAAGGGTACTGTAGGCACAATCAGAGAACACTGTCTGAACATCTGAGGTCCACAGCTGTTCAATACTCTCCCAGCAAGCATTAAAAATATTGCTGGAACAAAGGTTGATTTCTTATTAAAGAACAAATTAGTAAACTCTTGCAAGAAGTACTGGACAAACCGGGCTGTAGTGAATAGGTGAGCCTACAGGCAGCTGCAAGCAACAGTCTGCTGGACCAAGTTACCACAAGTTGAGCCTGGCCTTAGGCTGGGCTCGGAAGTAGAACAACAACCGAGACCCTCTCCAGGTAATATTATGCAGAATGACCACCCCCCCCATCGCCCCCCCTTCTCCCCCCCCTTCTCTGCCCCCCCCCTTCTCTGCCCCCCCCTCTCTCTGCCCCCCCCTTCTCTGCCCCCCCCCCTCTCTCTGCCCCCCCCCCTTCTCTGCCCCCCCCCTTCTCCGCCCCCCCCTTCTCCACCCCCCCCCCACCCTTCTCCCCCCCCCCCCACCCTTCTCCGCCCCCCCCCACCCTTCTCCGCCCCCCCCACCCTTCTCCGCCCCCCCCCCCTTCTCCGCCCCCCCCCCTTCTCCGCCCCCCCCCCCTTCTCTGCCCCCCCCACCCTTCTCCGCCCCCCCCACCCTTCTCCGCCCCCCCTTCTCCGCCCCCCCTTCTCCGCCCCCCCTTCTCTGCCCCCCCCTTCTCTGCCCCCCCCCTTCTCTGCCCCCCCCCCCTTCTCTGCCCCCCCCCCTTCTCTGCCCCCCCCTTCTCTGCCCCCCCCTTCTCTGCCCCCCCCTTCTCTGCCCCCCCTTCTCTGCCCCCCCCCTTCTCTGCCCCCCCCTTCTCCGCCCCCCCCTTTCTCCGCCCCCCCTTTCTCCGCCCCCCCTTTCTCCGCCCCCCCTTTCTCTGCCCCCCCCCCTTTCTCTGCCCCCCCCCTTGCTCCGCCCCCCCCCTTGCTCCGCCCCCCCCCTTTCTTCTCCGCCCCCCCCTTTCTCCGCCCCCCTTTCTCCCCCCCCCCTTCTTTTCTCCTCCCCCCCCCTTTCTCCGCCCCCCCTTTCTCCGCCCCCCCTTTCTCCGCCCCCCTTTCTCCGCCCCCCCTTTCTCCGCCCCCCTTTCTCCGCCCCCCCTTTCTCCGCCCCCCCTTTCTCCGCCCCCCCTTTCTCTGGCCCCCCCTTCTCTGCCCCCCCCTTCTCCGCCCCCCTCATTCTCTGCCCCCCCCTTCTCCACCCCTACCTTTCACATGTGTAGACATAGTGAAGGAGGGGTATTGAGGCTGTGACCCTGTTCAAGGGGGCATTAGAGCATCACCAGCCCGACATCACGGTCACACATGTAATAGACTCCCCATTAATCCTGCAAAGTTCAATGTGGCTAGTCCTAAGTGTCTAGCTTCCAAACATGGATAGACAAACATTCTCTTTTATATATATATATAGATTTATATACTGATTAGAAAGAAAGATATAAGGCTTTATTTTAATAGCATTTTATTTTCTCTTTGCAGATTGATAAAAAATGGCACCGATTACTCGGAGGACCGTCAGTGCCTCAGAGGATGCCTCCGAGGTTACTGCTCTGCCTCAATGTATTCTCAGAAGCAACCAAGGTACTAGTTCAGTGATAGTAGTGTGTATTTGACTAGTTCAGTGGTGGTAGTGACTGCACATGAGTATTTAATGTGGCATTAGATGAGAAAAGGGGTGTGTGTGTATATAATTACCTAAGTGTTGCAGGATGAGAGCTATGCTCATGATGTCCCATCGTCCCAGTATTCTTTATATGTTGCTTTGGAATTATTGATGGTTTTGGCTTCCATCACCTTATAAATTAACTTGTTCTAACTGTCTACCACTCAATTTGTAAAAGTGAACCTTCTAATTCTTGTTGTTTTTTGGTAGCTTTGTTTCCAAAAATTATTCTGTCAGTTTTGTTGATTCTTGTTTCTATCTGTACATATTGCTCATATCTTTCTTCTATCTTCGGTATATTTAACTCCTCTAACCTCTCCTCGTAGCTCCCATTTTACAGTTTGGGAAGCCATGTAGTTGCATGTGTTTGCACCTTCTACAGTTTGTTGATGTGCTTCTTCAGATACAGGCACCATACAACTGGTGCATATTCCAGTTTGGGTCCTGCAAAGGTCATGAAGAGGCACCTCACGCAGTGTTCTTTATGATCCTACGCTGATACTTTACTATCCACAACTAAGATCTTTCTTTTTTTCTGTCAGTCTTTAAGGCCTATATTCACATAATGTGCATGTTATGTGTGGCCAATTTTTGCCTATCCCACATTCCATAATGTGGCATTTATTCACATTAAATTCCATCTGACAAGTGTTGCTCCATACACATATTTTGTCCAGGTTATGTTGAAGGGCAAGGCAATTGTCAGTCTCTCTTATCGTCCCTAGTTGCTTAGCATCATCAGGAAACATGTTCATATAATTCTGTATTCCTTCTGGTAGTTCATTCACATAGACAGTTAACATTACTGGTGCTAGAAAAAACCTTTGCTACTACAATAGTAACTCTACTCCTGTCTAATACATTGCTTTTGATTACCATCCTCTTCTGCCACAAATTTTTTCATCCATGTTAGGAGTCTCCCTGTCACTCCTCCAGCAAAATTGTTTCCTGTTCTCTCCTGTTTCCAAAACAACCTCTTGTGTGGAATTCTGTCAAAAAACTTTTTCTGTGGAGAGCCCCGTCGGCTATTTGAACTGATATGTGCTATACAGTATTAGTTTGGGGGCCATCGGTCACAGAAGTTTTTATGCCTACTGGGAACCTTGAGCCAGAACCTGGTCCCCTCAGAGAGGTGCAGGAACAATGGCCTATGAGCACTTTACATTTAAAGTATGTCATAATTGACATCAACTGGGGAAGGACCCAGAAAGGTAGGTGAATCAAATCAGACCACTGTCTGGTTAACCTGTGCAATTTACACCCCAAAAGATGAAAATAACTCCCCTAGAAAGAAATCAAACAGACAACCCTTCATGCGACTAGCACTCCTCTCGTTACTGGGGCATTCGGGAATCACTTCCTGTTTGAAGACTTCTTCATTTGTTGTCTTTGCCCTTTGGGTATGTCAGGGGTCTAAGGCTTGCCGTCTTGCCCTGGGTAGGGAAGTATTATGTGCTGGGTGGGGCGCACTGCGGATGGCAAATCAAGCTTTACGTCAATGCAGCAACTCGTGTTTCTATCTGACTGCCAGTTTTTGTTTGTTCTGTGTCTTTAGGGAAGGGTTTTGTTTTCATTTTATTTTCATTCTCTGGCATTCTCACCTTGCTACGACAGAGGAGGTCTGCTTAGCTTTTTATTAAGCAAGCCGAGGTTGTGTTGGTAGTCCTCTGTTGCCCCCGAGGTTTCATAGCTGCTACTGGCGGTCAGTTTGCCTGCTACCTGAAAGGGTTCTACCGGCTTAGCTGGCCTCAGTGCCTGGGCTTCCCGTAGGACTAACTCACCCTATGGGGCCCCTGGAAAACCCCTGTGGGCACGGTTGTTCAATGGCTACTTCTTCCGAAACCGGTCTCGCCTTCTGCGAAGTCGAAAGTTGTTTGTTGCCCCTGCCACAAGGAAACGATCATCCGTACTGTCATCATCACGCTGCCTGTTGGGTCGGGGACACTACCGACCTGGAGTCTTGCGGGCCTTGTTCCCCGCTTGTACATCACTTTCCTCATTCCTTGTCTTTTGAACTCGGGGATCAGGTAGCGGCTGCATTGCATGCTAAATTTTCCTTATTGTGAAGCAGTAAAGTGAACCAGCAAGGTTCTCCAACCCCCCCCCCTTTCTCCAACCCCCCCCCCTTTCTCCAACCCCCCCCCCCTTCTCCACCCCCCCCTTCTCCACCCCCCCTTCTCCACCCCCCCCTTCTCCACCCCCCCCTTCTCCACCCCCCCCTTCTCCACCCCCCCCTTCTCCACCCCCCCTTCTCCAACCCCCCCTTTCTCCAACCCCCCCTTTCTCCAACCCCCCCCTTTCTCCAACCCCCCCCTTTCTCCAACCCCCCCCTTTCTCCAACCCCCCCCTTTCTCCAACCCCCCCTTTCTCCAACCCCCTCTTTCTCCAACCCCCCCTTTCTCCAACCCCCCCCTTTCTCCAACCCCCCCCTTTCTCCAACCCCCCCCTTTCTCCAACCCCCCCCTTTCTCCAACCCCCCCCTTTCTCCAACCCCCCCCTTTCTCCACCCCCCCCTTTCTCCAACCCCCCCTTTCTCCAACCCCCCCTTTCTCCAACCCCCCTTTCTCCAACCCCCCTTTCTCCAACCCCCCTTTCTCCAACCCCCCCTTTCTCCAACCCCCCCTTTCTCCAACCCCCCCTTTCTCCAACCCCCCCTTTCTCCAACCCCCCCTTTCTCCAACCCCCCCTTTCTCCAACCCCCCCTTTCTCCAACCCCCCCTTTCTCCAACCCCCCCTTTCTCCAACCCCCCCTTTCTCCAACCCCCCTTTCTCCAACCCCCCCTTTCTCCAACCCCCCCTTTCTCCAACCCCCCCTTTCTCCAACCCCCCTTTTCTCCAACCCCCCTTTTCTCCAACCCCCCTTTTCTCCAACCCCCCTTTTCTCCAACCCCCCTTTTCTCCAACCCCCCCTTCTCCAACCCCCCCCCTTTTCCAACCCCCCCCCCTTTTCCAACCCCCCCCCTTTTCCAACCCCCCCCCTTTTCCAACCCCCCCCTTTTCCAACCCCCCCCTTTTCCAACCCCCCCTTCTCCAACCCCCCCTTCTCCAACCCCCCCCCTTCTCCAACCCCCCCCCTTCTCCAACCCCCCCTTCTCCAACCCCCCCTTCTCCAACCCCCCCCCTTCTCCAACCCCCCCCTTCTCCAACCCCCCCCTTCTCCAACCCCCCCTTCTCCAACCCCCCCCCCTTCTCCAACCCCCCCCCCCTTCTCCAACCCCCCCCCTTCTCCAACCCCCCCCCCCCTTCTCCAACCCCCCCCCCTTCTCCAACCCCCCCCCTTCTCCACCCCCCCCCTTCTCCAACCCCCCCTCTTCTCCAACCCCCCCCTTCTCCAACCCCCCCTTCTCCAACCCCCCCCTTTCTCCAACCCTCCCCTTTCACCAACTCCCCTCCCTTCTCCAACCCCCCCCTTCTCCAACCCCCCCCCTTCTCCAACCCCCCCTTCTCCAACCCCCCCTTCCCTAACCCCCCCCTTCTCCTCCCCCCCCTTCTCCAACCCCCCTCCTTCTCCAACCCCCCCCCTTTTCCAACCCCCCCCTTTTCCAACCCCCCTTCTCCAACCCCCCCCCTTCTCCAACCCCCCCCCTTCTCCAACCCCCCCCCTTTTCCAACCCCCCCCCCTTTTCCAACCCCCCCCCTTCTCCAACCCCCCCCCTTCTCCAACCCCCCCCTTCTCCAACCCCCCCCCTTCTCCAACCCCCCCTTCTCCAACCTCCCCCTTCTCTCAAACCCCCCCTTCTCTAACCCCCCCCCTTCTCCAACCCCCCCTTCTCCAACCCCCCCCCTTCTCCAACCCCCCCTTCTCCAAACTCCCCCTTCTCCAAACCTCTCTCCATCCTTCTCCATCCTACTCTACACTGGCCTGATCTGATAGAGGCGGAGCCGCGGGAGGACGTCCGAGTTCGGACACAGAACAAGTTGCACTTGCTCTTGATGTGGTTGTCTGGGGATACTTTGCTATCTAGAACCATACTTAAATGTTTTTCCTTGTTCAAGTTCTTTTGCAACTTTTCACATATTTGGAAATATTTGAAAAGGTTACATTCAAACTTGGTTGAATGTAACCTAGTTTCGCATATTTTGCACTCCATTACCTGGTATTTGTCAATATTGAGTTTTATATCATTTGTTGCTCATGTCCTTTTTTTCATTTGCTTAGGTTTGTTGTGTATGTGTGTGTTTTAGCGATGTGTTTTGTTTATTATGATCTGTGCTTGCAGATAAAGAGGATTAATTTATGGGGTCTGCCTTTTCTTCATTGGGTATATGGTGCAACACTATTCACAACTTCCTGTGACCGAGTCGTATCTAGCTCTGTGCTGTAGTTATATTGTCCTCGACAGGAACAATATTTTTTTGAATAACTGTAGCCAGTTTGTATTTCCGGTTTTCTCTGTGTTTCAACTAATACTGTTTATTTCTGTGGGGAGCCCCTACGGCTCCCTGAAGCTTATCAGGCTAATGTATGTTATATTAGACCGGACATTAACTAAGGAGTTCAGACCTACCAGGGACCAGTGCCAGAACCTGGCCCCTTCAGAGAGGTTTCAGGGAGCAATGGCCCTGGAAAACCCCTTGTGGTTGGGGTTTTTCCTTATCTGCCATCGACCGGGGTTAGGCACCCAGAAAGGTAGGCATAACAAAACAAACCCCCACATGATAAGAAACTAAAACAAAAAAACGAACAGAGGTAGAAACTCCGTACAATCCCAAGGAAACAAGCAATTATCACAATTTACTGCCGTGCCGGTCATCCGCGCAGCCCTCCCCTCCCCGAGAGGGGGAGGGGGGCCCTGGACCTCACCGCGCCGGCTGCCTTCAGTTCGTAAGCTAGTGTCAACCGGGATAGACGCGTATCTGGCCTCAAATTCCTGGGCGGTGTTTTGTCTCGTGTGGTGTTCTCTGCTGTCTTTGTGTA